TGGCTATCTATCATCTCATATCCAACGCGCGCTCGCGGAATAATTGTTAAACTGAGCCCTCTATAGCTGTGTGTAGCCGTGTAGAGCTGCGTTTAGCTCTGTATAGCTGCGTATAGCCCTATATAGCCGTGTATAGCTGTGTTTAGCCCATATAGCAGTATATAACCCTATATGGCTGTGTATAGCCGTGTATAGCTGTATTTAGCCCTGTTTAGCCTTATATAGCCGTATATAGCTGTGTATAGCCATATATAGACCTATGTAGCTGTATATAGCCGTGTATAGCTGTGTATAGCTCTCTATAGGTGTATATGTTGCATGTATTGTTAGGATATAGGTATTTATTGTATGGCTGTGTTTCACAAGGACTGGGAACTACCGAATTCATGAATTTGATTGGCTGAAATCCATATTGAAAGCGGTCTAGATTTTCCCATCTAGACCAGTCTAGAAAAAAAAGGTACAAAGAATATAAAAAATTGGCATAGAAGACACAGCCATATGATCATCTTGTTAACCGAGCTGGGTCGGTCTCTATGAGAGAATCTTGACCTCGGTTGCTGGTACAGACCTCACTGCGTTCAGTCTATACTGGCAACCTCGGTCAAGATTCTCCCATACAGACCTCCCACTCGGTTAATAAGAACTAAATAAAACACTGGCTCAGGAATATATTTCCTTAACAACAGGTTAATCTACTTTTCTCTTCCTCTATTTAATGGATATTTTCTCTTGGACTTGAATCTGAAACAAAAAAATTAAATTTTTGATGAAGTAAGTAATCCAAATGAAATGAGTGAAATGAGACATGGAGATAGTGAAAGGCATTTCTCAAATGTTTTTGTTTTTCTGTGAACATTTCCTTGTTTTAATTTCTTTTAGAAATGTGATGTTAAGATTTACTGCCAGTCCCCTGATTATTTATTAAGGATTAAGGACTGAACCTTAGTCACTAAAAAATTATGAATGTAGAAGTTCTCCCTCAAGTAATTTTATCCTTGTATTTCTGCACCGTCAGATAACAGAATATGCCGCTTATGGTTCTCTGGAAGATAACCTTCTGAAAAAAGAAAGGGATATATGCCTGGTGTCTTCTTTCTGTAAATTTGCCATGCAAGTGGCACATGGAATGAACTACCTGGCCAAACAGAATTTAGTCCATCGTGATTTATCAGCAAGAAATATTCTGGTCTTTACACCAACTTTGGTAGGTACAGTTTTATGTTAGTACATATTTATGCATGTATGGCAGATATTAGAAAGAGCAGTGTTCAGAGACTTAATTTGGTCAACAAAATCCCAACATAGGTACATTGTACATTTTATTTTGTATTGTACTTGTGCTTAATCATGCTTGCAAAGTTTTGTGTACACCAATCTTAACCTAGTGGGAAACGTTAACATTTGGATGTTTTTTATAAAGGAGGTAAGTTTCCAAAGAAACTGTGGTGCTGCATTGGTGGGGGTAACAAGGTAATTTGGTTATATCAACTAGGTTAAAAATGTAAATTTGCCACCATAAAGAGATAAATAGCTGACGTTTCAAGCATTAGCCCTTCATCAGAGTAAATGATTAGTTTGTCATGTATAGTTTCTTAGGTGGGTATCCACAGGAATGTAGATACTCTGATGGATTGTTTCTAATTATTTTCCTAACTCAGAAAAATTTAATTTGTTTTGCTTATGGTAACCCCTAAAAAGGGTTGATATTCAACAATTATTCACAGCAGTGGAGGTGAATAGTGGCTGATATTTACCTCAAAGCAGCAAGGTAAATATCCACCACCTTCACCAAACACTGAGGTGAAAAAATGTTTTAGTATATACCACAAAGATATATCCAAAAAAAAAAGTTTATTTCTTTCAATATACCAGAAACTGGTCTGCAGTTAAAATCTTCACATATGATTTTTTCTCATCAGTTGTTCAGAGGTTTATCATATAAGGGGCAAAATTACTGAATTATGATTGGTCAAGACAGAGGGCATTTTTTCTTAATTGTTGTAATTGCCCCAGGAAAAATATTTTTCCCCTTATATTTATAAACAAGTAATCACATGGTTCCTCGTAAAATTAAGGATTAATATTACTTGTGTTTTCGGAAGTTGCAGAAATTGCCCTCGTCGCTGCACCACTCGGGCAATTTCAGCAACTTCCAAAAACCCACATGATATTAATCCTTAATTTTACTTAGCCCCATGCGATTACTTATACTAATAGTACTTTCTATTCACTGCCAAACTGGTCAGTAGGCACATTTGAAAAGCACCATTCACTTGTACGGTATATACTTAATACCATTTCATCACTTGTAGTAAATGGCTCCCTCAGATTTTTTCAGTAAGGTTCCCAAGGCTGTGTTATTTGTTTTGATTGTAGTCTTATGTGCAATTACTTCATGTTGAGAATAATAACTTGGCCCCATAAATTTTTTTTTTTACAGGTGAAGGTAAGTGACTTTGGTTTGGCGCGATCACTAGAAGGAAGAGCTGCACAGATCACAGTTCACAGAAAGATGGCAATTGCTTGGTAAGAAGCTTCTGTTCTCCCGCTTAAAAATTGTTCTAAAAGTATCTTATTAATATTTTTTAACATGTTACATCATCCCTTAGGCTCTGATGTTTGTTTGTTGTTGCTAAGAGGGAAAACAGCTTATTCTGGGTATTAAAATGGGTCAAAGATCACCTACAGACAAACAGCTACCCTGGCAGCTTCTTGTGAAAATGTACTACTGAGGCAGATGTTGGGCTTAGTGCAAAAGCGCTTGTTTTTAAATAAATAATTTGTTAATTTCCAAATGATTTTTAAAATAGGATTAACCAAGATGAGGGGTGTGTGGGGGTTAAAGTCTTAAACCATTTGGTGTGAGGGTATGAGGGTATATCAAGCAAAGGAAAGGACCAGCCAAAGTAGAGGGGTGCTCTTTGTTCCTCTCCTCCTTCTTTCTCCATGTGCCTTCCTGGTGTTCCTGCTGACAGCTTACCTTTCACCTGTTTGGCTGCGGGGCACATTTTTTACTTTTTATTTTTACTTTTTCAAATTATATTTTTATTGAATTAGTGATATACTTTTTATTGACCTTGCAATATGGTTGATTATGTTTATATGACTTCACCTAGTCTCTAAACGTTGTGTCAAAGTGTTATCTGTATATTATTCCAGGCCTATACCTCTTAATTGACTGTTGAAGAGCTTTTTTCATCTTTTCCAGGTTACCACCAGAGGCTATAATGGAGAATCAGTTTATGCTTTCAAGTGATGTGTGGAGTTATGGGATCACTCTTTGGGAGATGTTTTCCTTTGGTCAAACGCCTTGGGCTGAAATGTCACCTCTGCAGGTCTGAACAGCATTTTAAGCTTTTTTTTTTTTTCATTTATCTGTTTTAAACAAAGTGCTAACAAGTGACTGGCTCAAGATCCCAAGTCGGAGTAATTTTCTAGTTCTGTAAATCTTCTTTTTCTTTCCAGAAAAATATTTCCACAAAAAGTTTGCTTTAAATCCACCTGATTAACTTGTACTCTCTAGTTGAAGTAGTAATTGTCGTCAAAAGTTATGTTTTTAAGTTAAAATGAATTCAAAGTTAGTTTTATTTGTGTTTCTCTTTGTTTAAGGATTGTGGTGATGAGTGTGGAATAACGAGAATACAATGCTGTTTCAATTTATTTTGACCTGAGGTTCAAATGACTTGTAAATCATAACATATTTTTGACACATTTTGCATGTCAGCTCTGTTTACCAATTGGGTAATGAATTTATTCTTGGCTGAGCACAAAATAATGCTAATAATTTATACTGTACCGTGAAAAAGGTTTATTCATTATTGGATACTTTTATCCATGTTGGTTTTCTTTAAGATCAAGATGATGCTTGTGAATGAACCAGACAAACATCTTCTAAAACCCGATGCATGTCCAGATGGATTTTATGACGTCATGTTAAGCTGTTGGAAGCGTGATGCAAAAGAAAGACCACCATTTGAGGAAATTTTCGAAAGAGTATCAAAAGTGAGCTTAATGTTTTGTACTTACTAAAAAGGAAATACTTTGCGGAGTTGAAGTAAAAGCTTCAGAAACCCTTTAACTCCCATGAGTGACCAAGACAGAATTTCTCCTTTCAATACAAATACAATGCCAAGCAGACAAGTGATGAGAATTAAGGAACATATCAATTAGGGATTATCAATTGATCCAATACCAAATTCTCTGAAGGTACATTATAACAATTATATGACAGAGAGGAGAAAATTATCAATGGGGTCTGGGAGTGAGGGGGTTGAGCGGACCTGTGTCACGCATTCACCTTGTTGTCATCAGTCACAACCACTCAAGTCCAGTCTCCTTTGTAGACATTCTTCGGCATGTCACTCAACGTTTTAGGGGATTACGTGACATCCAAGGAAAAAGGTTGATTAAGGAACTAACTCGAGTCCAGATTTTCGTCGTTTTGACCTCCCATTTTCGCTGTAAAACAAATATATATTAAGCAGAGGTAGACACATTAAGTGAGTCCTTTCGTGACCCACTAAGTGAGTACTTTGAGTGGTTTTACCTAACTTTTTTATAATTTAGAGTAAATGGACTCTTTTTAAATCAAGTTTGAGGTCATTTTATTGAGTCTTTTTAATGTTTGGCAAGTTGAAATGGCCGAATTTTCAAACAAGCAAGTTCAGGCACCACACCTCGCAAAAGACAACATGCATCTATGTTAATTAGCTAATCTGTTTGATTCGATCCTAGGCTCTTCAAGAGCACAAAGCTCAGATTTGTTTTGTTGGCTGGTGAAAGAATGTTAAGATATTTTTGTTATAAACTTTTCATGATATTCACTTGCCAAGGGTAAAACATTTATGGCTCTCGGAAAATTGAGTTTCAGCTTTTCATTTTGGTAGGCAATCTTGAAATGGTTTTTTCTCAGAGCACTAACTGAACAGAAATATGTGCAATAGTTTGCATGCTTGTTAATCTTATGTCTTTTCTCTTTCTCTCTCAATATTTCAGTTACAGCCCAAAGAGGCAATAACAAAAGTCACACACAACACTAAGGAGGAGGGCCATCTCAGTTACAAGAATAAAGTGAAAGTGACAGTCATCAGAAGGTAACATGAAAAATGAGCTTGAACTGAAATTGATTAGATCAAACTTCTTTTTCGGATACTAGTAAGTGCCTTCAGTGACACACAAACCAGAACATGCGAGGGTACATTCAGTCAAGCCTCCACTAATGGTCACCCTCCTTTAACCACAGGCAGCCCAAGCTCTCTTTGAGAACCACATAAGGAACACAATTTGCATATTTATAAGCATTTGTATGGGATTTTCTACAAGATCTCCATAGAGATAATTAAAAGTGAAAATATTAAATAAAAATGGCTTACCTTATTCCATACGTGTGTTGTTTGCTCCTGGTGTCTTAATTTTACCGATTTCACTTGATTTAAGCGTTTTTTTTTTTAACCCTGGTTTTCAAGTGAAACTCGGTAAAATAACGACACCACGAGCAAACAACACACGTATGGAACAAGGTAAGCCATTTTTATTTAATATTTCAACTTTTAACTATCTCTGTGGATATCTTGTAGAAAGTCCCATACAAATCCTTATAAATATGCAAATTGTTTTCCTTGTGTGGTTCTCAAAGAGAGCTTGGGTGGCCTGTGCGTTAACGGACGGTGCCTGACTCGTTCTTAGTCCCCTCTCTGATTTGGACATGAGAAGCGCGCGAGAGGCGCATGCTTGGAAAATGGGAGGGACGAAAAGTAGTGCTAGTCTTTCTCGACCCCGTGGCGGCGTATTCAAAGTAAGACGTCACTGAGGACAAATCAGAGACACCTACTACCCCACTAGATTTAATTAAAACTTACAAAAATTTTAATGAAACTTGCGTTTCAAGGGTCAGTCAGAAGAGATGTCCCGTTGTCTGGACAAAGTTCACTCATTTTACCCAGAAAAATAGACTGAACAACGTGAGAATGCTTCCCAGTAGCTTTCGCTAAATTTCGATTGATTGGTCATACATCATAGTTTCATATACGCAGGGCTCGAAAAAACCCCTGGCCCGTCATCCGGGACAAGTAGATTTTCCCTTCGGGCAAGTAACTTTCTCTCCTTCCTTGCCCGACGGGCAAGGACCCAGCGGGCAAGGCGTTCGCCGACTAAATTTTTGATAACGATTTTGAGAAGAAAAGGTAAGCTTTAGGCCCAAGGGTAATCAAGTGTTTAGATGAAACTTGACGAAAATTACAATTTATAGCATTGTTTTGTTGATTGCGTGACGTGCGCTCACGGTTCAGAAGTGGTTGCCTAGCACGTGATCAAAATCTTCCCCAATCAAATTTCCTTCCAGGATAAAAATAGCCGCGTTGGGAACGAAAACGCTGTGTCTATTTCTTAATTGTAGCAATTTCCCGCGAGAATGTTTCGGTTTCTCAGTACAAAACTTAACTCAACAGCGATATATTAATTAAAACTGTAGAAATTGTACGTGAAAACTGAGAAGTCGCATATTTCTACCGCGAAAACAAAGCTAGCCCTTTGATGCTAAAATCCAGGTAAATCTCTGTTCGTGAATTATTAATTAGTTTGAAAACTTAGGCAAGCAGGGAAGTGCCCCGGGCAAGCAAAACTCAAGGGTTAGTTGCCCAACGGGCAAGGTGTAATTCAAATATTTTTCGAGCCCAGTTACGGACGGAAAGTTTGTTTTTACCTTGCAGCGCACGGCCACCGGGTTCAGATCAGTTGCATGATTATTCTTAAAACTGCGAAAGGATTTTGACACTTGTAGATTCTTTCCATCTCGCTCTTTGATTGTATTTGTAGAATAGAGGATGGTATGCTGTATGTTGAAAGTGAATTTGGTAATATTGGGTTGGTACATGAGAAGAATTTGGACTTCAACAAAAAAGCCCTGCAAAGACATGCAAGGTATGGCTGTGGTTCGCTACTTTGAACCGTTTGACCCCCAAAGAGTAACCAGCAACTAATTTCTCCTTACAATATCAGCCCTGAATCACACAATAGGGTCACGAGAATAAAGGAAGTGATCACCAACTAAAAGAGATCTTGATTGTTAAACAAATTCTCCCTGTCGGCAGCTTAGGAAATTTACAGGGAACAGTGTGGAGAATTTGCATACTGATGTTAGGGATAAAAAGTCTTGAATCGACAAATTAACTCAGCAGTGTCATGAAACGCCGACTGCTGTCTCGAACTCGTTGCGAGCTCAGCTGTCTACGAATTCTTTTTTCATTTTGTCGATTGACCAGTGCTGTCGAACATGTATACAGATTGCATTTGTGAGCAGCTCGCATAACTTGGTGTTCGGAAGAAATTACGATAGGAAACGCATCAACAAATCACGGCAAAAAAAATTTCCAACTGAACCAAGCGGGGACTTAAACTTTGTGCAGGCTGTGGGTTAATGTGCATTCGATTCAGTTAGATTAGGGGGAAAACGTGGATTAAACATCAAGTGTGACTGCTCTCAAGGCGGGAAAATGAAAAATGCGCTCCCTGCCCTAAGAGATTGAAGCTTTCCAAGCACACGAAAAGGAATTTTTTTTTTTGGTCTGTTGATTTTTAATAGTGCAGCAAATGTGATGCTAAGGCAAACCTTACAAGTTCTGTCAGTGATGGGTTGAAGAGTTTCCCATGCTAGCAAGTCAAGTATTATTTTTTTCCCTCAATAGTAACAATCCGACGAATAATATCGGCCGACCATTTAACTTTTCAAGAAAAGACCCCAAACAAGCGTTCAGCCACTTGCAAAAGTAAGTTAAAACCGACATTGATCCTTTTTTTTTTTTTTTTACTTAACTAACCCAGCTCGATCATCACAGACATTTGTATGGGCTTAGAAGACAAGACAACATGACTCTAGAGTTTGGGGCACACTGAGAGAAGCCACAAAGGGGGTCGTGGTCTCTGGGTCTATTTGCATGAGCCTGGCTTGCATTACCACAGAGTGCTCCCGCTCAGTATAAGGAAGCCCAGGGAAACATTAAAGCGATAAACTGACGAAAAGTCACGGCCAAAGTCGTAGTCACCCAGGCTGGAGATATCCCGGGTAATGTTCGGATGAACATCTACCCCCGAGGGGACGGTCTAAGCTCGAGATATCCGTGGGAAAGTAACAGTGATTTACTGATACAAGTCCCCACCCGGGGGCTTGGTCAAAGCTCGTGATATCTGAGAGAAATAACAGTGATGCATTGAAATAAATCCCTGCCCGGGAACAACGGCTGTGAAGATTATCTTATACTTACACATGAACACAGTACCGCCTCCCTTCTGTGCCGAATTTCTTTCGGCGATCGTCCTAAAATTACTCATTTTAAAGATGCTTTTTCGTTTCCTTTTTTACCATTTTTTCTTCTTTTCTTTTGCTATAGGGATGCCGCCGCCACTCCTGGGAAAACAATCACTGGGGTTGTAGAGGACAGTGGCGCTAAAAATTTGATGGGTAAGTCGAAGCAGTGTGTGCAGTAGGTCACAGATTGAGTCGATGCGCTTGTTTTCGAATTTGTAAAATTAAGGAGTAAACTATCTTTCCAATTAATCTTTTTATGATTTATAGAGCGTTTTTATCTTTAGTGACCTGTGGCCAAGAAGGTTTATTCTTACTGAAGTGAAACAAGCTTTTTTGTTTAAAATTATTCATCTCCCGCGCGCTTTCGTCGACTTACTTTTTTTCGCCATTTTCTCGTTTCTCATGAAATTCATATCCCACTAGTATGATACTCGATAGAGGGTCATAGGGTAGCAAAGGGGTGTCCTAATCCGTTTCGCGTACGAATTATTCACGTGTCACGTCGTGTACTTTAAACAGCATTTCATGCGTCACGAATTTGAAAGGGAAAACGAAATCTCTCTTCTTGTGTGTGAGGTTTCAGGGGAATCTTGAGGTTAGCTCTTCAGGAGTTGCATGGGTTCAGAAGGCGAATCACGCCTCATACTGGTTCATAAGTTCACGAATCACGCTCGCCTTTCTGTAAAATTCACGCGTCACAAATTAATTTTTGGCCTTTATTTCATCCATTTTGAAATCACTTCTGTTCCTTGTAATCTGATGGGCTCTCACCGGTGCGATATATTCACAAACCGTACCATTTTATGCTCTAAATAGCATCCTTTTCCCAGCTAGTGAGACAGCTTTACTAAAACACAATAAACAATCAAATTTCGAGGCTTGTCCGAAAAAATCGACCAATTACAGGAAAATGTGAGAAAACTTATGTGACTTTTTACAAACCAAGTTAATATACTGGATCAATAAGATATTTGCACAGACTAAAGAAGCTTGTATTGAGCGACTGAATGTTGCAACTTCAAAATGGATGTAATTAAGTGGTAATTGAACAGAGTGGAGTGCAAATTTTGGTCGGAAATCATACTTGAGATTTCAAATCAAACTCGCGCTGTGCGCTCTTTTGACTTTTAAATCACACGCATGATTTCAGACCAAATTGCACTCCACTCATGCATCCCATAATCCCTTTGCCACCCTCATAAAGCCACAACCAAAGTAATCACGACGGCCAGTCACAATAAAGATACAGATCAGAAGGAACCAATGAGAACTCGGTGTAAACATAAACAGACAGGCGTACGTAGCTTCAGGCGCGCGCGACCAATTCAATGTCAACTCATACATATCAACTTTTAGTATAATTTCAGAGCTGAGCAAAGAGTTTACAGCAATCTGATTGGTTGAGCGGTTCCTTATATGACACTATATAAACCGCTCCACGCGGTTTATATAAAATGTTAAAATAAAATGTTAATAAAATGTTATGATTTTAGAAATTTCTCTGTTGTTCAGCTCTGAAATTATACTAAAACAATTATTCGCCTCAGGTTCGGTGAATATAGTCGAATTATCCCCTCGATTTCGTCTCGGGAATTATTCGACGATATTCACCTCACCTTTGGCGAATAATTGTTAAATATAGGTCAGTGGTTCGAATCCCGTACAGGCCTGAATTTTTTCAGGTCTGATTTTTACTATTGCTTAAATGATGCTCTTTACTGCGAGGATCATGCACAAATACGTTTCTATAACCGCAGTTCAGATAGATGAATTTCATATATTCGTTGTGTATAACCAATTCAATCTCGAATTTATCCTTAACGGTTAATTCAGAATAGCTGTGATGAAACGTCCTTGATGAAATGTCCTCACATCTTTCGTAAGGAGACCAATCAGCAATCGTGGCTCGAGTTGTCCGTGTTTGAGACCAAAACAGTAGTAAAGCACTGTTTAATTTGAGGCTTACTTTTCATCATTTCTTTTTTCGAAGTTGAATGTTTTGGTAGGGAGGAATAGCGGAAACTGCACCGGCGAGTTCGTTTCTTGTAATAATTAACTGGGGGGTTTTTCACCAATGTTCTCTCTAGAACTGTCCCAACGAAAGTATCAAAGGCAATTTGGAGGATTTCGTTGTGAGGTCCTATTTTTTAATTTATTTTTCCCAGACTTTGGAGACGATATAGCACGCGACCCCACAAATCCGCTTAGTCCAGATCGTTCCTCAGGTCACCCAGGCATAAATCATGGGAATATGCCTCAGGCTACCACTGCTAAGCGATGCCCTAAATATATTTCCATGAGTGGCAGGAAGCTTGCCCCAGAATGTGTTCCTGAGGAAACGCTGAGTTTGGAGGAAGATTATATGAGTATGGACCATCAGAATCGTGTTCCTCAAGGCACTAATGGCGGTGAATATGCTATGCTCAAGGAGGACGCAAGGCCGTCACCGGGGACACATTTAGAATCAGAAGCTCATGGATTGGAAACCGAAGTGGAATACGCTATTCCATATTCAACACGTAAGGACAGAAGTGGTTTGACAGTTAATCCTTCACACGGGCTTTCATTAAGCTGGAATCAAAGTGCTGGTACGCACACGCTCGAAATTCCTCCTCGTCTAGACCCTCACACCAACACAATAAATACCACAGGAGCCAGTACAAGCTTCCCTTCTGAGAGAGAATTATCCTCTAGCCCTTTTGGAACAACACCGAGGAAGAAACCTGTTCCAACCCCGAGAAAAAAGAAATCTCAATCAGCTTCCGATGATTTTTCAGATACAAATCGAATGGATGATACAAATTCTTCTGATACCAATGACGATTTTCCCAGACGTTCCAATTCAGAGAGTAGTTATACTCCAGTCACACAAAATGGAACCCATGAGTCCCCTTATAAAAAGGTACCTCCTCCAGTTCCTGTTCCATATCATTGCTCAAAACGCATGCCAAAAACGATTGAAGATCGTAGTAATGAAGTGGGTCTCGGCGAAATTGCTGAGCTGAGCCTGGAAGGACGGCCAGATGTGGGAGATGAAGACGAGAACGAGTTTCCGTTAGACCTGCAAGACCTGCGGTGGCAAGCAGATTTAAGGTCTGAGCAACCAGTGAAGAACAAACATTACATCACTATCAAAACTCCTGTTCCCAATGGGGAATCCTTTACATTTCCGAATCCACAAGGTCAAGAATTGTGTAGCGGGCCCCAAACTGCTACTTCAACGGTCGAAGGTTCTCTTGGCGCGGCCTTTAATGACTATCTAACACAAGATCACGTGTACGAGAATGCTAAAACGTTAAAGCCGTCACCAGGTAACCCAAGAGATCTTTCACCCAATGGAGAGGGTAATTTTGAGGATACTCAACCAATTTACGACAAACCACTCAATTTACCGATGCCACCAGAAATTCCACCGCAAGTCTTAAACCAGCCCCCACCATCCCCCAATGATCTCTTTGGTGGACCTAACCACCAACCTCCCGTCTTTGCTGGCTGGGAGAATGCGCCGGGTACGAATGATTGGCCCTACGGCGTCGAACACATGAATGCAGTGAACCAACCTCCAATTTTGACTGCCCAATTTGATGAATCACACGAACCATTCAATCCTGTTGGACCTGCCAACCCAGTTCAACCTGTTGATCCAGCTACCCAACCTGATGATCAAGTTCAAACTGCCGAGGAAGGGACATATGGGGAGGAAAGTGATGGAAGGATACGGGAGATTCGCCAGGTCTGTGGGGAAGAGTTAGCTCGAGACTGGTGTTATGCAGCTCTGTTACAGTATCAAGGCGATGTGGAACAGGTTGTTCGAATGGCCAAAACACAAAAACTATCCAAAATTACCGGCAAATCTGAGGGGTTTTGTGAAAGAACTTTGACACACTGTTCTTGGAATTTAAATCGTGCAGCTGAATACATTATTGAAAACTTTGAGAACAAAGAGGTATGAACCTTCTTCTGAGGTAGGGTGAATTTTTGCTAACTGAGCTCAGTTAGTGGGAATTCTCTTCACCGTTAATCACATTCTTCACTGGATAATTTGTACCATCCAGTGCGTTTGTTGCGTTGATATTCAATTCAAATGTAGACCCGTTTACTCTTTAGCTCTCAGAAGCGATTAACTCTTTCACTCCCAAGATCTCATGAGTAATTCCTCACTGTACGCCCTATAGTTCTTATGATGTTAGTTAGGAGAATTTGGTTTAAGGTTAAGTTTAAGTTTAATTTATTCGCCACAGGAATGGTAGGAGAAAGGAACAGAACTTTCGTTCCAATTGACACCTAACCCCTTTATTACCCACCCATCCCACCCCGGGGAGGACATCCATCACACAGTAATCTCGTGTGTGGGAAATTAACGTCTCCTGCCCCAACCCTGCAGGAGACGGGACCTTCATTTATCGTCCCTATCCGAGAAGACTAGAAAGTCTAACCATTTGCAGATATTATTACAAAGGCAGCACTTTCTTCTCAGTTAATTTAAAGACCCTGAGTGTTGGTCCGGCCGGATTTGAACTCACAACCTCCCGCACAACAGTCTGGCGCTCCACCAATTGAGCTAACCGGGAGGCGTTGTGGATCAACTGATAATCCCTAGATAATCCCCTGATTTTCTTTTTTCCTTTTTCTCATTACTTATCTGCTCGATATTGTATTGATATTGTAAGGAGAAATTCTGTCTTGGTCGCTCATGGGAGTTTAAGGGTTAAGGCGTAACATGTCCTTGCGATTCTAAAGCAGCTTTCAATTGACTGTCATAAAACCAAAACCACTGAACACCCATTTATTACAAAGGTGTGCGTCATCAGTACGGGGACTCAAAACTAAAAACAGGAAAACTACCAAAGCGCGGGAAAACGCGGGCCTCCAAGTTATGTTTTCTTTCGTTTTCGTTTGGCTTGTGATTGGTACAGAACATGACCAATCACAGACCAAGTTGCAGTAAAACCAAAGCAATTCCAGATTTCTTTCGACATTCAATGAAAAATTACTAAAATATGTTTTCTGGCAAACAGATTATGAGAACAGACAACCAAACCAGCTAGAGGGTTTTAGAGTATTATTTACCCTGAAATGTAAGGCATTTCGTTGAGAGAATTATTGATTCAATCTAAGGAGTTAATGGGTTATAACATTTACTGTGGAACCTTGATTTAACGAACCTCTATATAACGAAGTCCCGGTGTAACGAATGATACTACAGTTTCAGCCCGGCTAAAGTTACAGTAAAATGTATGCTACAGAAGCTCGATATAACGAACCAATTTATCCAGTCCCTTGGCACTTCGTTAAATCGAGGTTTCACTGTATTTTGACTTTTTGCGATTTGAATCAGTATTGAGCAACGTTTAATCTTAGAATAGAATTAAAGGAGATCTCAATCAAACGTAAGAATTTAAGAGTAAGAGGTACCACTACGTCAGAAATGCTGTTTGAAAAATTTAAAATTTCTTAAGCAAAAATTTTTCGAAAGGAAAGACTTCCTAAACTTTTGATAGAGTAAAATGTGTACAAATCTTTTATGACAAAGGAAATTACCTCGGGTCGAGGTCATTGGAAGTCTAGTTCACGTAGCAGTCGCTTGTTTCAACAACGGCCGAGTGATTCAGAGCGGGACACGTGAGCGAGAAGTCTCGCATGTCTGCTTTCTCGCCTGCGGATGTCTCGCTTTCGTGGAAAATAATGAAATTATTTAGGGCATAGTTCACAAATGGAAATTGTTACAGAGTCGAATTATTCTGATCTGTTTGATTGCATTAAGTGGAGTTGAAGAACTCTTTAAGAGACCTTTATTTAAGTTTTTCCATGGACAATTTGTAGTTGAAAGAGGTTCCGAAAGACGCCGTTCGAATGTGCTCCCTGAGAGCTCTCGACCTCGTCCACTCTTAACCCTTACACCCTAACATCGGTATGCATATTCTCCATACTTTTCTCAACACGTTTCCTAAGGTGCCGATAATGAGGATTTTTTTCAACAATCAAGAGCTTCTTTAGTTGGTGATCATTTCCTTTATTCTCTTGACCTCAATGTGTGATTCAGGGCTGATATTGTAAGGAGAAATTGGAGGCTGGTCACTCTTAAAGGTTTATGGATTAATAAAATACAATTTTTATTTTAAAATTTTATAGCGAGAAATATATAGAGATACAAGCCCATAAATGAACACAATTATACATGAGAGAGTTCAATCGAGTTTTGAAGTTATAGATTATCAATTTTTAGCTTAATGAAGTGGTTTATTTGGTTTTTTAGCGGGGCTCCACACGCGCGCGTGGGTCAGAGCCCCATGCCCATAGAATATGGTCCACCTCTTTTCGTTTGGTTGTCACGTAACTGACCGAGCGTACGTGCTTAAGCGAGGGGTGACTCAGGCGAGTCTTGGCAAATGCTCATCTTTTATGTTATTAATATTACGAACTTGGGAGCTCCGCTTTTAGGCTTGGCTAAATCTAGATATTATTTTATTTGTGCACCGTCGAGTCAGAGTAAAACTGATTTTAAGCTGATCGCATTAGGTTACATAAATAAAAAAAAATGTAGTTATTTAGCGTTTTGTAAAAGTGATTTGTGTTAATGGTTGGTGGTGCAAATAATTCTCCTCTCGTTCCCGCCCAGCGCACCATACCAATTTAAGAAATAAATCCGCGAATGAGCGCCGCCCCTCGAATAAACCACCCTCACTCGGCAAGAATGTAAAACTAAGCACCCCCTTCCCTGTGATTGCGCGCGTGAGTGTAATCATGCTATCCATAATGAGCGCTTATAATCGGTACTAGCTCTGAACACATATATTTTGTTCTTCGGTGTCAATTGATATGAAGAAGACGGGTTTGGAAAACCGATTGCGAAAGCTAGTTGAATTGGTTAGGAAAAGTTTAGGGTCAGTCTCTATACCACTACACGGTGAATATTGTTGTTTAAGCGCAAATTTCACATCACCAAAGGCGATCTTCTATGGCCACGATTTTTGAAAAATTGAACCAACGTCTTCCCGCGGTTGAGCGTCCGCGCTCCCTCCTCCTCCTCCTCCTCCCCGCCCCCCACCCTCCCTTTACAAGTAAGGGATGCCCAACAAATCAGGGATGAATTTTCTTCAATATAATAATTATTACGAAGTTAGAGAATCATTTGCTTCGATCCTTTTTTCCTTATTACCTTACGTAAAATTACAGGAAATGTACGATGCCCAAATTGTGATCGGAGAGAATTAAATTTCCCCGTCAAATTACGCCGAATCCGACGTCCAATGCAATATTTAATTATTTCCTCTTTTTCGAGTTGGTATGAGCTTCGACCGATACCAGAGTGGCCCATTTCACTGTATCTAGGGCATCTGTTTATTCAAGGGCGTAGCCGGGGGCGTCCTGGGGTGCCCGTGATCCCCACAATGTTCAAGTGGCGAAAACACAATGACAATATCTTGGCCGTAAAAGCCATTGTTGAAAAGCCCACTTTTTTAAAAATTGGTTTTTTTTTGTAAAGTATTTTCGACAACGGCTCTTGTATTTCATGCCGCGATAATATGACTGAGCCCGCTGATACACGGGGAGAGCAGCGGTGTAAATGGTGAGTAGCCTCTGTGACTTCCCCCCCCCCCTTTGAAAAATCCTGGCTACGCCCCTGTTATTAGGCCTAGCCACAAGTTGACGATGAATCCCAAGAAACTTGCTGATAAAAGTGTCTAAAAGATGCCAAAAAGTTGCCAAAATTTTTCTGCTTTTCGTACCTTTTTTGGGTGTTAAAGATTAAAAATTCGCACATTGCTTCTTATCAAAACTTTATTTGTCAAAGTCCAATGATAATATCAGAGGTTCTTTCCATTTCACTTGATCAACAAAGTCACTGTAATTGTCCAGCATCTTGGAAAACGTGCAACGTGATACCGCTGGCCCTGTGATAAACCATCACAAAAATCAACCCATGGGGGGGGGCCCAAATTATTGTATTTTAGAATAAATTGAATAAATGTCTATCGAAAACTGACCAATGTGGCTCAAAACGTGAAGAAAGTGGTTTCAAAGAATCTCAAAAACCCCAAAGTTGCCGAAAATTCTAAAAGTTGCCAAAATTCTAAAAAGTTGCCGAAAAGTTGCAGAGCAACTTGTGGCTAAGCCTACCCGTTATTATCATAAATCTAGCCAAAATGCATATCACCAACATCCTTTTCAGCATAAAAACCCACACTACTGCTAGACATGTGGAGGAGATCATTACTGGTGAAAAGTAAAATTACTGAGTATTCACTAGTACCCTGCGGTGAACATGTCTAGTCTCGTGTTGCTAGATACAGAAAAAAAGCTTAAGATAGGCTCTAAAACATATATCCTGACTAAAAGAAGCTTTGACGGCCCAAAGAGAGCTAAACAACGGCTTTTAGTATTCACTGCTCGTGCCGGGACCGAAGCGAAAGAACAAACGTTAGCGGGTGTCGAATTCCCTGTCAGTCAGTATACTGTATTATTTGGTTTGAATTAAAAAATGGATTACACCATACAACACCCGAGCCGCTTCTATTTCTGAAAAAACCTAGGAGTAGTTAGATAATGTTAATCTTGAAGATTGCATAAAAAATTAGCATGGAACCTATCCTGTTGTCTGAGGCGACGGTAAATAACTGAACGTTACTTAACATTCGTTGCGATGTTTTTTAAAAACATGATCTTTGTGCTGGAGTCAGTCCATTTAAATCAGAAAAGTATTGTTTTAATCATATCTTTTACCTCCATCATGCACCTCTTTAAGAAATCATTTAAAGACACGTTCGTTTGTTTTGAGACAAAGGGCGAAGTTAACGCTGATATACAATTTAGCCCCAGAGATTTTTCTCGGGCGATTTCTTTTCAGTTACGGCATTGGTATTCTTGCACGCTTTTACGTAAATCCAGAATTCTTTGTCACTGCGAAAACTACTGTTTGCCGATAGAATATTACGAAATATACAATTATTTTCCAGCTTGGGTGTATTCTTATCCCGGCTCGGCGAGCAACTTTCTCTTTGTTCCAAATAATACAAAGTATGTGATTGGTAGCTAGTTGAAGCCTTGGGTTTTCACTTGTCTGCACCCGATTATAAAGCCAACGCTGATTGGCCTAATGCACGTGCACCAGGCGAGCTAATTTCGAAAGGCTTCGCCTAATATGGCGGACGGAAAATCACACAGCATAAAGGATTGGAGTGCCGGTTGGAGTAGAATCACTGTCGTCGGCATTTAACTCTTGAGTCAACTGTAACGAGTTCGCCAGTGTGTTAAACCGCGTACAGTGTCTCTGTGCAATAAGGTAAGGAGCATCTTAATTTTTTTTTTACGCTAAAACTGGTTGATTACGGACGCTCTAGCCGGTCATACTCGTTAAACCAGTCTACGAGTAGTTCAGTCTGCCTGAGGAACGAGTTGAAATTTAAATACACTTACAAGTTCTCGCTAGGTGTCGGTTGAGTTGGCATCCAATTTAACTTAATTTTTCGCCATGTTCGTAGATTTTTGGGTCAATGCTGGAAATTCGTTTGAGCGTAGGAAATAGAAAACTCATGTCAAGTTTGCTTGGGAAGACCATTGTGGAGCTGTGGTTCCGAATATTTCAGCGAGACGCCGTCACATAATGTCACCCATCCTGCAGATGAAAACCTGAGAAAATCCTACAATGTTAAGTCTATTTTTCGATAAGGGGAGAAAAAACTTACTTTTCCTATAATGAATTCTACGAATCGATCGAGTCCAGGTTCTGGAGCTCATCTGGCGAAGAAAAAAAAAATGATAATTGATTTTGCGTGACTTGGACTTCGTACTGTTTAAAATTTTGGATTCTGAAAATGCTTTTAAAGAAAACGAATTTTTTTTTTTCCGCTGAGATTTACGCGATCTTCTCCAAAATTATTGCACTTTGAACTTGTTTTTCAGGAAATCGGGCTTGATTTTTACACGATTTTTACCGTAGTGAAAATAAACAGTGAAATTGTAGTTGTTGGTTACAGACGATCATCACGGCAACTTTGAATATTTCTGGTCCCAAACTGAAGCTATGTGAAAATAGAGCCTGCTCTTAAACCATGCCACCGAAGTTGCCTAAATGTTGAAAATCTAATGATACAGCTATATTTTTGTTTGGTTACATACATGTATTTGAGATTTAAGGCAATTGATGCAGTCTTGAAATGCAAATTTTACATTTAAATCATGGCATTTCGATGTTTTGATTGTTTAAGTGGCTGCTTCAGTCTCTATCCCTCAATCTTGCCATCAATATCTTTCTTGTATTTTAAAAGCTGGTGACACTTTTTTGTCCAGAGGAGTTTTCAATCAACAAGCATAATTGTTATGGTAGTTAAGTCCTTGGAATTAGAATTATGCATAAAATGAAATCCATGTAAGATTTCCAGAGAGTGTAAACAAAATTTACTTGATTTGGGAATATGTCACTTGCTTCAACAGGATGGAATATATTTATTTTGCTCCAGCTCTAAGAGACCCACTTTTAGCTTAATATTGCACTAACCTAAAATAATGGTTTTTTTTTTTAAAGGTAATTGCAGTCCTAAACAATGGGATTTGGACGCCAAGACACGGCCCCTGCTATGGAATTTCTTCAATGTGTGAACAATGACCGGGGATCAAAAAGCAATACACCTTCTGTTCCCTCATCACCACTGACACTGATTGAAAAAATCAATCAGAAGATTGCAGCTAAAGAAAAATTCTTCAGCTTGGAATTTTTCCCCCCAAGAACTCCTAATGGAGCAGTGAACTTGATAGCCAAGTTTGACAGGATTTCTATGGGATGCCCATTATTTTGTGATGTGACATGGCATCCTGCTGGAGACCCTGGTGGTGATAAAGAAACAAGCTCCATGACAATAGCCAGTGCAGCTTTAAACTATTGTGGTCTAGAAACTATGCTACATATTTCTTGTGCTAATACAGTGAAAGCCACAGTGACTAAGCACTTGATGAAAGCCAAAACATTGGGAATTAGGAACATCCTTGCTCTCCGTGGTGGTAAGTACTGGTTATAATACAAAAAGAATGTGATTCTACAACTGATAAATATCTTTTGACCCTCTCACTACCATGCATGTATACATATATTCCTCATAATTTGAGTTCTCTCCAATTTGGTTTTGAATCAAACAGTGTCTTGAGCTGATATTTTCATTTTCTCCTGTCACCCTTTGGCTTGAAAACATAGAAAGATGAGACATGACACAACAGAACACTACATCATTAACCTATTGTTTTCCTCTTTCTTTTGTCTTTTTTTCTCTTTTGTTTTGGGTCAACTCCTATAATCCAAGTATTAGGGCCTAAATGTATTGCTATTACAAAGGAAATTCTGGTTTTTGGTCACCACTGGCATTGGAAGGGTCAAAGGGCAGTTGGGTTGACTCAAGGGAAGAGTTGGCAAATTAAAATGAGCATTCTAAGTTTTTTTTAAGGATGTTAAGCTAGTTAAGCTTGTTGGGTTCTGTCCTCATGTACTGGTTCACAAGAGCCGATACAAAAGACCAAACAGTACACAAAAGCTAACCAATGACTCCTAAACAAAGAAAGAACAATGGTAATTCCCTTGTGAACCGGTACACCAGGACAGAACCGCTTGTTGGGCTGGCTGGCCCCATTTAACACAATGCAGTTGTGAAACGGTTATAACAACATAGAGCCCATCCAGTTGCATCAGAATGGTAGCAATTTCTCAGGAAATTTTTTTGGCAGTGAACTACTATTTTTTTGTTATTTATGACAATTAAATGTGTGCACATACCTGAAGTTGTGGTGTTTATTACAATTCTGGGATCCACTGTCCAATGGATTTTCAATTTTCCAATGCTCTGGCATTTGCAGATCCGCCCAATGGGGAGGAATGGCAAGCTCTTGATGATGGTTTGGCATATGGCACAGATATGGTGAAACATGTCCGCCAAGAGTTTGGAGATACTTTCACTATTTGTGCGGCAGGTGAGTGAGTAGATTAAAGAGTGATTTTATGGTCCACAGTACAATTATTTGTTTTGTTTTGTTTTGTTTTGTTTTGTTTTTTTCATCTGCTCTTGGAATCCTGGCTTTTTTCCTTGACCCTTTGTTTACTGATTTCCTATTGTATTGGAGCTTAAGAGGAAAGTTTTTTTCTAATATACAGTTGGATATCTTTACATAGGCTACCCAAATGGTCATCCAGACTGTCCCACTTATGAGGAGGATCTTCAACATTTGAAGGAGAAAGTAGATGCCGGATCCGATTTTATCATAACACAACTGTTCTTTGAGAACAAAACATTCTTCAAATTTGTGAAAGATTGCCGAGATATTGGTATAACTGTACCAATCATTCCTGGCATTATGCCCATTCAGGTGAGACACAATTGTTGTTACAATACCTATATCTACTGCGAGGATCGTGCATCATACGTATCTAATACCGCAGTTCAAATTATATGAACTTCATATATTCCTTGTATCTGATTTATCACTTTCACGGGTTTATTACGAATCAACTTAACGGCCTGCTCTCAGTTGGCTTGTTAGCTCAATTGGTAGAGTGCTGCACTAGTATCGCAGAGGTCAGTGGTTCGAATCCCGTACAGGCCTGATTTTTTTCAGGTCTGATTTTCGCTATTGCATAAATAGCGCTATCTACTGCGAGGATCGTGCATCATACATAATACCTATATTAGTTCTAATTCAGTACAACATACAAAATAATGTAGTTAATTTGCAATATTTGACTTTGAGCTTTAAGAGACTTTGAAACAGTTGCGTACTTTGACTGGGCCTTGTGTATACATTGTGCTATTAAACTTTTAACTCTCAAGATTAGATTGCTGATTCTCTCCTCTTTCTGCTACACTTTACCTTTCCCTGTAAGTTAGTTACAAGAATTAGATTAATATAACAGCTTATACCTGATAAGTTTGACTGTATTGTCATTACCTTTAGTTGGATAATGTATGGCTACTACAAGGTAAACTTACATGATAATCACCTCTGGGTGTTGGGTGAACTTCAATCGAGTCTTGTTTCAATTTCTTGATTTATACTTGATTCTCCAGGGTTATGCTTCCCTGCGTCATCTTGTCAAGCTATCAAGGTTAGAAGTTCCACAATGGATTGTGGATGCCATTGAACCCATCAAAGATAATGATGAGGCTATACGTAAATATGGGGTACAACTTGGAATCCAAATGGCACGTGAACTTTTAGAAAGTGATGATGTTCCTGGATTACACTTTTACACCCTGAATCGAGAGGTTGCAACCAAAGAAATTTTGACAGCTTTGGGACTGTGGTGCCAGGATCCTGCAGCCAGCAGACCATTGCCCTGGAAACCCTCAGCAAACAAGAAAAGAGTGTGTGAGGATGTGAGACCGATCTTCTGGGCTTCTCGACCTAAGAGCTATATGTATCGTACTTCAGACTGGGATGAGTATCCTAATGGTAGATGGGGAAATTCGTCATCGCCGGCCTTTAATGACTTGAGAGACCATCACTTGTTTTATTTACGAAGCAAAAGCAAGAAAGAAGACTTGTTGAAAATGTGGGGAGGGGAACTCACTTGTGTGGAAGATGTGTTTGAAGTTTTCAGGTGTTACATCTCTGGGGAAAACAATCGAAATGGTGTGCAGGTAAGTGAAATTTGAAAAAAAATTGTTGTGAAGATCCTGTGTGTGTGTCAGTGTATGAATGATACATTCAACAATTGGTTTAGATAAAAGTCTTTTTTAGTTGTGATAAGCATTCCAAGATTTAAACATTTTGGTCAACTTGAACATGTACATGTAAACTTCCAAAAAAGTCATTTTGCAACTGAATTTGCAGTGTGGAAGCTACTGAATCAGATATGATTTGTTGAGTACAGCTGTTAATAGCAATGCACATAATGTGCCTTTTTCAAACTTTTATTTATTTTCTTCTGATGAACCAGATTAATTTTCTGACCACCATTTCATGTTTTAAAGTTTCCAAATGATGACCTTGAAAAGAAGAGAATATAGTAATGCTGATAATTTATTTTAATTAATGTACTGTGGGAATATGTCAAAAACTGAAGGGACTTGAAGTAGAATAACACAGCTTGATAAATTTCAGTTGGTAAGCATAGGATATTACCTTTATTTTACAGGTGAAATCACTCCCCTGGAATGATGACACCATTGCTCCAGAAACATCTTTAATCAAAGAGAAGCTTGAATTTCTGAACAGCCATGGATTTCTAACAATCAACAGTCAGCCTCACGTGAATGCCAAACCATCTAGTGACCCTCTTGTGGGCTGGGGGGGAAGTGGTGGATATATCTACCAGAAGGTAAATAAAATTGTGCGAAAGAAGATTGTGCAGCACACCTGCTGTTTATAACCAATACCATCACAGAAAATTAGCTATGATTGCCATCTTGATTTTTCTATCTTTGCTTCCATTGGCACAATTGATTTGGGTTTGAATCATTGTTGTTTCCTGTGGTTTGATGGGGAATTTTAAAGTGACCTTGATGACAGGATTGGCACCATTGCAGCCTTGTCTGGCACCATTGCAGCCTTGTCTGGCACCATTGCAGCCTTGTCTGGCACCATTGCCGCCTTGTCTGGCACTATTGCAGTCTTGTCTGGCACCATTGCAGCCTTGTCTGGCACCATTGCAGCCTTGTCTGGCACCATTGTAGCCTTGTTTGGCAACATTGAAGCCTTGTTTGGCAACATTGAAGCCTTATTTGCCAACATTGAAGCCTTGTTTGCCAACATTGAAGCCTTGTTTGGAAACTATGGATCTAAATTGCCAGTTTCTTTTTTTTACATACATGTATTACCTTTCTAAATGATGCGTTGTTATTTGTCTAGTATCATCTGAAAGTACAATTTACATGAAAACTATACTCAGGTTTGAATTTAAAAGTAAAGATTGTAGAGCCAATAGTTATTTCTAAATTTGATTGACATCTGAGGTAATCCATGTTTCATTAACAATTAACACCTTCAAATTGCAGGCTTACCTAGAGTTCTTCACCTGCAAAGAAAATGTTGACATCCTTCTTGAAGTTTTAAAAGACTATCCACAAGTTAATTATCATTTTGTGAACAGAGAGGTGAGTTGGATCACAGTTTAATTCTTTGTAATGTACATAAAAGTGGTTCCATCTCATCGTGTGAATATTCTGACCAATAATTTTTGCCTTTTAATGATTGAAGTTAATTTGATTATGCAGTTATGAAGTACATGTACCCCTTTTGTTCTGTGAAGAGATCAGAAACTAAGCATTTCATGTTTCTTATACTTTTTTTTTTCTATCAGGGCTCAGTTAATGTAACCAATTCTGACAAGTTATCTCCTATTGCTGTCACATGGGGTGTGTTTCCTGGAAAAGAGATTTATCAGCCAACAGTTGTGGATCCTATCAGTTTTGAGTCTTGGAAAGTGAGTTCCCATGTTTGAATTTCATCACCTAGTCAGTTTAACATCATATGTCCACAGCCAGCTGACTCAGAGACCAAGTAGTTACTGAAATGCAACAGGAAACCCAATGTTCAGAGACTGAAAGCCTTTGCTGATAGTCTAACTGATCTCTCAAGCAAAGAAATGGTCCTTGCAGGTTGTCTGCAATTTTAGCAATTGCTGAAAAGAAACCTGAAATGATTAAGGCTTTGACATGATTCAAACCTGTGCCTCCCAGAGCTAGGGAGGGAGCTTCTACCATCTGTGCTGCAAAACCACACATTGGAAGCAAGGCAAATTTTAAATGGTTTTTCTTTCCTTTAAAGGAGTTTGACAACAACTTGAAATGAAATTGTTTTTGTTATTTCTTGTAATTGATTGATTGACTGACTTGTTAATGGTCTGTTTAGTCAGATCAATGTTCCTATCTGAGCAACTGCACACCAGTCCCACCCCTAACCCTTAAACTCTCAAGATCTTGCTTATGAATTCTCCCCTCGAGCTGTTACACGTGTCCTTGTAAATTGATTATGAGAATTTGGTGTTCAATTATATTATGATAACAAATTCTAACTGATAAGCTTGAGTATTCTCACTACCTGTTTGCTGGATAATATATAGATATTATAGGGAGAATTTACTCATTAATCACTTCTGGGAGTGAAAAGGTTAAACTTAAATGTGTAATTGTTTGTTCTGATAACATAACATAACATCAACTTTATTTCAACACGATAAGTGTTTAAAGCTTCGCGCTTATGGGGTCGTGCATTTAACTAGTCCTAAAACTAATGTCTATTACTAACTTACATACAAAATAAAAGTAAGATTACTAATAATTAATAATTGTAAAAATTTGTACAATATATGTGATATAATCTGCATAAGATATCATTAAAAATAAATATAGTCTTGATCACAAAAATTAACTGTTGAGGCAGATGTTACCTTAAAATGAAAATCTTTAAATTCAACGATCTTACTTAATCTTGAATCTATGCTCTTTCATGTAGCATGATATTAAGAATTAACCAAGTTATTTTGCTCATATATTTAGGATGAAGCATTTGATCTTTGGGATCAACGGTGGGGTCGACTCTACAAAGAGGATTCACAATCAAGACAAGTCATTGATGACATCTACAACAACTATTACCTTGTCAATTTAGTTGACAATGACTTTATCAAAGGGAACTGCCTTTGGGAAACACTTGAGAAAACAGTGGAACTTAGAGAAGGAGGGGCTCAGCGCATGGCTGCTGAAGCCTGATGAGATTTGATATTTGCATGATTTTAATAATTGGAACTGATGTGAATAAGGGAGACCCATTACCATTTTGAGTGATATTTTATATTTCTCCAGTCCCTTTATTGTTTAAGAGGCTAATGGAGAATAGTGAACAATACATAAGGTTCTGGAGAAGCTTGAAAAATACATAAGGTTCTGGAGAACATTGAGAAATTCTATACACAAAATTATTCTGGCAAACTCCAAGATTAGGTGGATGTACGTTCAAGTCTGAATAGGATCGTAATCCCTCAAGGGGATCTGAAATATCTAATTTATTTTACTCAAATCCTGATTATGCCAGAATTATGGGAGAATGGGACACTTTCATTTGAGGCAAGAATCTTCAGTTTAGTCAAGTAGTTTTTAAAGACAATGTGCAAACAACTTAATTATTTGAATAGACTTGACTAAACTGACAAGATGATACAGACCAGTTACATTGTATTTTCCAGACATGCAAAATCAATGATTTCTTGTAAGAGTGAGTGCAAAGAAATCCTCATAGTGTAGTATGATGCACTACAATCAATTTTATGAAATTTTCAAGTTGATGCAAAAGCTCTTTTCCAGTATCCCAGTTACAAATGTACTAGCAATAAGTTAACTTCACTCATGAAATCAAGCTGGACTCACAAACTTTATTTAATTTTTTAACATTTTTTCTGTTTTATTTGTTGTTTGGACATTCGAGAAGAGATCAGCTTGTTTCTTGGATTAAGATGAATTCCTTAACTACTGGATAGCATATATTATCTATATTTATTTCTTATTAATGCCCTGACAGATCCATCAGAGTAGTTAGAGGTACTGATATGCAGTAGATTGTTGTGCTGTTTCTATGGAAACCTTTTAATGTTAAGTTTAATTACCCCATCCCCCTATACATCTAGTTTAGAGTCCAGACTTCCATCAAAGTAATTAGAGACACTGATATACAGTACATTGTTGTGCTGTTTCTATGGAAACCTTCAATGTTAAATTTGACTATCCCATCCCCCCTATACATCTAGTTTAGAATCCAGACTTCCATCGGAGTAATAAGAGACACTGATATGCAGTACATTGTTGTGCTGTTTCTATGGAAACCTTCAATGTTAAATTTGACTATCCCATCCCCCCTATACATCTAGTTTAGAATCCAGACTTCCATCGGAGTAATAAGAGACACTGATATGCAGTACATTGTTGTGCTGTTTCTATGGAAACCTTCAATGTTAAATTTGACTATCCCATCCCCCCTATACATCTAGTTTAGAATCCAGACTTCCATCGGAGTAATAAGAGACACTGATATGCAGTACATTGTTGTGCTGTTTCTATGGAAACCTTCAATGTTAAATTTGACTATCCCATCCCCCCTATACATCTAGTTTAGAATCCAGACTTCCATCGGAGTAATAAGAGACACTGATATGCAGTACATTGTTGTGCTGTTTCTATGGAAACCTTCAATGTTAAATTTGACTATCCCATCCCCCCTATACATCTAGTTTAGAATCCAGACTTCCATCGGAGTAATAAGAGACACTGATATGCAGTACATTGTTGTGCTGTTTCTATGGAAACCTTCAATGTTAAATTTGACTATCCCATCCCCCCTATACATCTAGTTTAGAATCCAGACTTCCATCGGAGTAATAAGAGACACTGATATGCAGTACATTGTTGTGCTGTTTCTATGGAAACCTTCAANACCAGCATGGTGGCATGAAGAAACGTGTAAACCACCTACATCGATCTCAGATTTACCGCCAGATATAAAGACAGTTTCCATTGGAGAAAGGAAATACAAATCTCGAAAATTCTTATATTGTGATGAAGACATAAAACAATTTTGAGGAATGCGCCCACTGTTCACTGCTTTGGAGTAGCTGTAGCTCAAGCTGACTTGACTCTAAGAGTTCTACATCACACAATGGTTGATTGACAAATGGTCCAGTGGGACCTAAGGCTCCTTTTATAGTGCACCTTCGTGTTTAAGACAATTAAAAACTTTACAAGGTAGGCATAAATTGAATTTTATAAACATTGCCACAAACGGAGAAATAAAATAGCGGTAGGAATTCTCTACAGGTCATTAATAAACCACACTTTCAATTACTACTCTGTTCTGTTGTTTAATTCTCATATCAGTAGCCCTTCTACCCGGTGTCTTTGATTTCATTGTTATACTAGATGTTGCTTGGGAAAGTCAATCGTTAGCACACTTCAAGCTCTAAACAAGGTAAACACTGAGGTGAGGTACCAACACTATCATTCTTTTCCTTTACTATTTTTTTCTCGGCCTGTGAATACAGCTGCTAAACAACAATATTCCGCCTCCCACTTTCCTATTAACTTACAGTACTGGTGTTCTGTTGGTATTGTTTTTTTTGGTTTTTGCTGCTTTTTCTCTTCTCTCATGGTTGCAATTTGTATTTTTTCCTGTTTTTCCTTTTCTTTCTGCTTTTCTCGTGTTTACAGTTTGTCTGGAAGTCAATTTTTACTCAAAGAAAATGTTCCAATGATGTTATGGAGAGCGAGATGAAATGTTTTTTTTTTTTTTTCTTTTCAAACGTCCTGAAAGTGCTCCACACCCATGTGAGTTGGGGGGGGGGGAGCATATGCTTGAAGTGCTGGTGTACGTGACCTTTGGCCCAGGAGATGCTAATCCAGAACCTAAAACTCTGAAGACACACTGGGTTTTTCAAGGGAACATTTTTCCAAGATCTGTTCTTTATTTTTAGCATTTGAACAAATTATCTCACTTTGTGAAGAGTATTAACTAATTTAAATTCCCTTTCTTGAAGACCAAGCTAGTATGAGATGCAGAAGTTTTAAAAACACTTGTTTACGTTTAGCTAACCTGGTAAAGATTTGCATGCTTTTGCACTGAAAATAACAACTTGGCAGCTTAGAAGCTTAAACCTGCTCGAATACCTGTTTAGTTCCTAAGTGTTCTTTGCATTCACAGATAAAGAAAAGCTGTGATATTTTATTATTTTAATTTTTTTTTCATAAATTTTACAGTACTCGACAGTACACTGTAATACAGTACTTTACAATACTGCTTACTTGCTCTAATAACAATACACTATATATATAATTATCACTTACGGCTAATTACATTACAGTATTTACTGGCAATTACAATACTTTTCTAACGTTATTCACATCTCTTTTTTTTATTTTCCTTTCGTTTTTGTTATTTCAGAATTACACACATGATATGAACAAAACAAAGAACACATGAAGACACAAAATTATTACACTTGCAAACTCCACATTTCAAAATTAGTTTGAAGAAGACAAGTAGACAGGCTTATAAATGTTTTAGGTAGAACAAAACTTGCTGCTGCAGAAGGTGTGTTGTTTGTATGAATGGCTAGATCATTAAGAGGGTACTGGTAAGTTTCTTAAAACACTGTGGTGTTGCATCAATAGAGGGTATTAAAGATAATTTGGTTTTGTTAACTGAGTTGATAAATAAATGTAAATAGCCACCTTAGAGAGTTTTAAAGCTTTATTTAAAGTTGACATTTGAAGCCACCCTTCTACATTCTCAACTCAGTTGATAAGACTAAATCCCGTTGACTCATTGCATAGTTCTGGAAAATGTGTTCATATAACCCTCCATGGATGGTCCTTCTGTAGTACCCCTGCTGCACCCTGTGGCAGGTTTTCCTCCATTTAGAGGGACTTTGATGATCCCCTTCCTTGTCATTACCAATCTTTTACGCATGAACCAACATTACTATTTAGGAACTTAAAAGAAAAAGATCTGTTATTATCCATTAGTTAACCGTCAGAAAATATCTGATAGGGAAAAAGGTTTGGTTTTTTTCTTCTTTCTTTTTTTATGCTATAACACTTAGAGGGCTGTTGACACTTGGAAATTAGGCAAGTTTTCAATCGAGAGTTTGGCTGACCCCACTTCTTCCACCATTACTTTTTGTAACAAATTGGTCTCGTGGTTATGCTTGTACTTATGTCAAGTTTTTCCCTTCAGGATTTGACCAATGTATATCACAAGCATTCACGTAGGAATGAGAAGAAGTTGTAAATTGTTTCGATATTTTTATGCCTGTGTCTTCCTTATGTTTTGTTACGATTCTTCTGCTCGCAGCACCAGAAGTGACTCACCTCCAGTTTTCGTCATACTTTTCTTATTTCTAATAATTAACCCTTCCACAATGACCCACTGAGACACTGCACCACCATAATTTATATGGAGCTTGGCATCTGACGTGTCAGATGAAACAAGATTAATTTTGAAATGTAAGAGGTTCAAAAAACCTTTTAAACCCTTTTATCTCCAATCAAATGGATGCATGATACTGTTTTCATTTTATGAGAGGTGTGCACTCTAATTAGACTGTCTATATAGTTAAATGCATTGTATATTTTTTCTGTATTTCCCTAGATTAAAAAGATAATCTTCTCCCTCTTCCACTTCCTCTTCTCCAATCTTCTCCTTGGGTTTTTGATGGTGCAGATGGTGTCAATTAGATAATTAAGTATCGCTAATAAACCAACCAGGCTGGAAGGACTCTGCGGGCTTATCAATGAGCTTGAAAATTTTTGACATCATAACAGTTTCAAATGGATCCCACAAAGAAATCAGTTTCACCCAGCAAATCTCTGCATAGTCTTAATCTGTAATGCAAAGACTTGGTCCCACAAAAAAAAAGGAAAAGGATGAGCAGTGAGTGTGTTGATTGTTTTGGCCATTGGACTGTCACTGATGCAAAGACTTGATCCCACAAAAAAAAGGAAAAGGATATGCAGTGAGCCGGTGTGTAAAGTAGTTCGGCCACTGGACTGTCTTAAAGTGCGCTGAACAGAGAGTGGACTTTGTACAAGAGAGATTGATTGATTGAGAGCTGAACCTCGAGGGAGTCAGTTTCACCCAACAAATCTCTTCCCTAGTCTTAATCTGTAATGCAAAGACTTGGTCCCACAAAAATAATGAAAAGGGTAAGCAGTGTGTGTGTTGATTGTTTCGGCCACTGGATTTGGTCCCACAAAAAAGGAAAAGAAAACTGCTACAGACTCTAGACTGTCTTTATGCGCTGAACAGAGGGTCAGGACTTGTAAAGTTCCTAAGCCTTGACCTGTGATGCAGAGACTTTGTCCCAAAAAAAAAAACCAAAATAAAATTGCTTCGGAAACTGGAATGTCTTTATGTGTTGAATAGAGAGCGGACTTTGTACAAGAGATGTGTGATCAGTTGGAAAGGGTAGGAACAAATACAAAAAAGGGAAATGGAAAAGAGAAACTAACCAAGTTGGCAAGCGTGGCTCTAAATGGAGAAGACTGAAGCGTGTTTCCAAATATGGAACTTAACAAATGTAGTAACTGTGACGTTGCAACTGTAAGTTAAAATTTTTGTTCCGACAATATTTCCTTTTTAGTGATACAACTTTTGCATTTCCGTAGGAAAAAGTAGCAAAAAAAACGTTTTTTTGATATATTGCAGATCAAGAACACTCCCCTAACGTCTGGAAACACGATTTCATGATGATCCAAGTTAGAAGTCATCCTTGCTGCCGCTTAAAACATTTAGAATGAAAAAAGCTGCCATCTCAGTGGTGGATCTGACATGGTGAGCAACATCAGTCTCACTATGAAAATTATACTTCTTTCGTCTTTGTTGGAGCATCCAAGGAATGGGGGATGTTCGCATTTCTTGTATATTTAGAGAGCTAATCGTCGACCGTAAGGATTTTCTTTCTACGCTAATATCCCACCCACTGTTAGCTTTCTCTTTTGATCGATTGTTACGTATACGTTAGTATCTCACGCACTTGCAGCTTTGTCTTTTGATCTAACTTGTTACGTTAGTACCTGGCGCAATTGTAGCTTTCTCTTTTAATCGATTGTTAGATTAGTATCTCGCCCGCTACAAGCTTTCTCTTTTGGTCGATTGCTACGTTAATCTCTCGCTTACTCGGTTAGCTTTCTTTTGGATGGTTTGTCATTTCAGTTGGATGGTTTGTCATTTCAGTTTCTCGTGCAATTTTTTTACATTCTCTGTTCATGGATTGTTAAGTTAGTATCTCGCGCGCTTTTGGAACTATCTTTTGATGGATTGTTAAGTTAGTATCTCGCGCGCTTTTGGAACTATCTTTTGATGGATTGAACAATTATCAGAAACAAAGATTTGCCATGAACAATAAATAATCAAGCACTGGTTGTGTAACTGCGCTAACGTTTCCCATAAACCTGCCGGATCTCATCGTTCATGAATCACGAAAAGGCTGACTGTTCAGGTGTCAACGTGTTTGCAATCGAGGGAATATTTTGTGGCTGAGATAATTGATGGACGAATGACGCGAGTAATCTTCAATGGAAACATGGAAAATGCGCCGCGAAGTCCGTGAAAAGCGAGAAGCCAGCCCATTAGCTAAAAATTAAAAAAATAAGGAAAAAAAGTTGAAGGGGGGTAATAAACCTGATAAATGCCGTTGTGAGAGAGAAAGTGAAGCAGAATCAATCTGCTTCTTTTCTTGTAGTCCTACCCCTTGAGGCCATCTTAGCACGGACTGTCATTTAATGACATATTACTTAATCAATGTATTCACTGGATTTGCAGAGTCGTGAGAATGAAATAAAAAGTGAAGTTGAAAAAGAAAATTGGAGAGCTGGAATGTGGAATGCACGGAGTGTAAAAGAACTAAGCTAAACGTGAGTTCTTCATTTTGTTG